GCTGAGGGCACTYGGTCTGTTCAGCCTGGAAGAGACTGAGGGGAGACCTCACTGCATGGACAAGTTCCTGTAAGGGGAAGAGAAGGGGCAGGCACTGATCCTTTCTCTGTGGTGACAGTGACAGGACCACAGGGAGTGGCTTGAAGTTGTGTTCAGGGGAGGTTTAGTTTGGTTATCAGGAAGAGGTTCTTCCTCCAGARAGTGGCTGGGCACTGGAACAGGGTCCGCAGGGAAGAGGTCACAGCACCAGCCCGACAGAGCTTAAGTGTTTTGACCATGCCCTRTGGTCATGCTGTGACTCTTGGGGATGTCCTGTGCTGAGCCACAAGTTGAATTCAGTGATCCTTGTGGGTCTGTTCCAACTCAGATGATTCTGTAATAATCAGCTGTAGTTGCTGCCACTCTTTGTATTGCTGTATTGAGTGCTTTGATCCAAACCATGTTGTTTCATACTATTAACTTTTCTGATAACCACGCACAACWTTTTTTAAAGTTAGTTGATTGGGTCCTACAGCTGCTAGAGATCTGTTTCAGGACAAAGTTAAGATTTATGGTAAATAATAGGAAGATATTCACAATTAAATTATCACTTTTGAGTTATCTGCAGTGAATTTGAGGGGCTGCACTACTCCTACTTGATTTTAGGTGAGTTTTGTTTCTTAGCAACGTGGAGTTAAGGGTAATTTTTTTGTAACTGAAAATCACRCTCATGTTCATATTTATCAGTGCTTGTTAGAAAGGGTGCTGTGCACCAACTAAGTACGTCATAGCTTCCTTTCAGATCTTTGCTTTGGTAAATACCTCTGACCATGAACTTCTTTAGGACAGTTGCTTAGGCGCTGTATCACCAGCTGTGTGTCTCTGCTGTCCATTCTGCCGCATTAACCTGTGCTTTGGTAGGAAAAGGCAGACTAGTGCTAATGGGTTTGAATGGGTGTCAGCTGAAATTTTTACATCTTGTTTTCAGTGTSTGTGCTTGCAGAAACTCCTGTTTTCACGCTGGAGTGTTAGCTGTTTGTCTCTGCCAGCATAGTGTTTGTAACTTGACTCTGTCATTGTATCCCTGTTTTTTTGCATGCTTTTCTTGGGCAAGAAAATGAGTGGTTTTATATGAAATGCCACTGAGATGGAACATATGATTTCGGCTTTTTTCTTAAAGCAGAACACATATGTGGTTTGCTAAAGCTAGGATTTAGACCAAAAATAAAMCTGAGTTTGGCCGGTGCATGTGAAATAGAGCACCTGAAATTCTAGGGCATAAACTACTGRCTTCTGGCAGATAGTGCATTTTATTGCCTAGTTGAGAAAGGCTCTGATGTCAGATCTCAGACAASACTTTTGTGTGTGCACATTTTGCTCATGTGAACTGACTGGCATTTCTTCCACAGAGTTGAGTGGACTTGGTTTTAGGCTTTCATATGAGAATTGCATGGATGATTTGTTGGAGAGAGCAGGAAATAACATTTTAAGTCTCTCAGTTTCTACTCACTTGTGCTAGTGGTTTTAAAAGTCAGAATGTCTTATGGGTGTCTTATGATTTTATAAAGGAGCGTTTTCAGAGTGTAACAGTAAAATTTTAGCTCTGTTCTCTGACTTCATTATCACAGCTCCCACAGCATGCAGCTTAGTCAGCATCTCATCTTCAGGAATCACTTGAAATCAGAAAAAACAGGCTGGGGGAAACAAATTTATATTATAATAAAAAAAATCAAAATATAATTTAATATGTATGTCCTCTTCTTCTTCAAGGCCATTAAAATTCTCTTAAACCTTTCACCTGATCTTTGTGTATGGTTTTTAAAGGAAGGAATGTTGCAGCAAATGCTGCAATATGCGCACTACAAAAGCTTCATAACCATCCACTGTTGTGGTGAGGTCTCCGTCCACAAAGACGGAGAGATTTTGGCAGAGCTGGTTCTATTGGTTCTCATACTGCAGTTAGTAAGCTGACCCACCCATTCTGCCAGTATGGTCAGCTGTATACAAGAGAAGCGATTGTAACAGTAGCTGGTGAAAAGAGCCACCTGCAGCCAGAAAGTCTTTGCTTTATGGGTGGATGGAAGGATGCAGCAAGTATCAGGGGCTTCATAACTGAAAGTGCAGGCTGTGTGCTTAGAGAATGTGGTTTAGTGATACAGAACAAGTGGCACAGGATTCAGTGTACTTGCACGTGTGCTACTAACAAAGAGAGAACTGGAAAAACCTGATGTTAAATTAAAAAAAAAAAAAAAAAACAAACAGCATTCAAAGGGACTGTCAGAACTGCATGCTTCACTGTGATTTGTCCGTCTGTCAGACTTCAGCCTCAGTAGTTGCCTCAGCTAAAGGGAGTTCCCAATCTGCTTTAAAGGTTTGGGAGGTTTGAAATTATTGCGGCAAACACTGTGATTCACTTAAGTGGCCATGCCTAAATAACCACTCCCATGGGGTCTGTCTCATCCTCTGCCTTCCACACACCTTTCCTTACATTCTCCTTTTCCCTGTTTTGTGGGGATCAAAGAAGTTGAGAGGGATGAAAAATTGGTGGTTTGTTTGGTTATTGCATTTTACATGTGAGTCTCATACAGCTCCCTGCTAGGGGAGGTATAAATGCCTGGGCCAGGTATCATAGGGAGTTKTCTAGAAGGTAAGAACATAAAAGGAGAGGAGAGGCTAATTGGGGAATAGAAGTTAAACTTCAGAGTAATCTAAATCATGTATTTTTTGTAGTTTCTTTACTGTAGTTCTGAGGGATACTTCTTTCAGTTCACCTTAAATTGTATGCGGCGGGAATTCCACATTCCTAACTAAAATGCTATGGATGCTGTAACAAATACAAACTTGCAGTGAAGAAGTGTCAGGGTACTTTCAATATCTTCATGGTGATCAGTGTTCTTTTACAGAACTTCAGATGAAATGTAATTTGATTTAAGGCTTGTGAAAGGCACTAAAATGATACTTGTAAGGAGGCCAGTCCTCTCTTAAAACATAAACATTTATCCCTCATGAGAAAAAACATGTTTTATTTGCATTGGTAAACAGCACATAACATGTAAGATTTGAGCACTCGTACCTGATTCTGCTGCTGTCAAACAGCTGATGCACTTTAGCATAGAAATTACTGCTGTTTAAGTCAGCTTCTAATTGTTTTGTATAACCAGTTGTCCCAAAAGGAAAGAGGGGCTTCTCTGTCTGTATAGAAGGGAACTTGCTCAAAGAACTGGAATTAAATATTTGTAAATAAAGTATTGGGATACATAAATGCAGTAGCTCTATCTAACATCACCTAATATGCTCATGGAAGATATGCAATGTTTAAGAGCATTTGCCTAAAAAGGTCTGCAAACATCTTGTATATCCCTTGATGTGTGCCCAGGCCATTCCTACTCAATCATGCCAGAGTGACTGACTGTGTTCTTTAGCCAATTATTATTTTTCAATTTTATCACTATGAAAACCTCAGTATTTTTGCAGAATGATATATCTTCATTTGTTTCAGGCTTATCCAATTTAGCAATTGTCTCTTATTACGTAGTTACATTCATTTTTTAAGCACACAGTTTTATAGACAGTGATCCATTGTGTCTTGCTTTCCCTTTCCAGTCTTTTACCTTAGAAAAGTTTCAAAGGTTACTTATGTTTACTCCATTGAGCCTTAGCACTTTATGCTGACTTCTGTGATTGTTTACAAGTGTGTTTTTTGTTAGTCTTACAAAATCACTTGCTCCTTTTTTTTTTTTTTTTTTCCCATGCCCAGACAAGGAAAATACTAATTATTGCATGTAAAATGAATGGATATTGTTCTATGTCAGAAGTKTTTCTGACTGTGGGAAGGCTTTTTTTCTAATCCACACTTTCCACCTGAGTGTCTTTAGTCTGCAGTGTTGTTATTGTGGTTACTAGCACAAAGTAATCCCAGCAGCTTTAAAGGAAAGGAAATTGCCACTCAACCAGTGTCATTCCTGAAAGAATGAAGAATGGAGACTTAGATTTTGGAAAGAAAAATGTGAAAAATATAGAATTCATCTGATGCAGAGTTGTTTTTAATATTGTGTGTCGCTGGATAGACACCTTGCTRTGTGTTTTTTGCTGGAGAAGTTTCGTCTCCTACTGTATGGATTAATAGAACAGGATTTATATCAGCTACCTTCCCAGCAGACTTCTAAAGCTTGTGTAATTCTCACTAGAACACCATGATGACACTGTCCATAAACAGTGTGTTATTTAACATTTTTGTTACCTGCATTTTAATGAAAATACATGAGGAAATTATATAGGATGCTTTTAACTCAGCAGTGACTCAGGTAGGATGCTGGTCATGGTGTGTGGTTTGTTGTGGGTGTTTTTTTAGTGGTACCTGCATGGATGGGAATGGTTTATTATTTCCAGATGTTGGTATACCTGATARTAGGCTGAGTCTGTTTCTGCATAAGGCAGGGGAACAGCATTGGTTACTGTGGTGCTGATGCCTTGGATGAAACTTAGGAGGTCTGGTTGTCCTGAGATCTCTAAATCTTACCATTCTCAGGCATGGCTCTGCCAGCAAGGGAATTCACCCAGTTGCATTATACATGCAGTGAAATAGTCCATCAGGAAAAGTTGCTGGTGGCTGTCACAGAAATACTTYGCTCTGAAATAAAAAAGAGAAACTGAATCACTGGGAGGAGTTACCTCTCTGGGCTGCCCATACCAGAACAGTCACATATTAGGCATTTAGTTCAGAGGGACATGCATGTCCCAGTTTAACATTAAGCCAAATACCATGCGTGACAAAGTCATTCTTTATGCTTCATTGTATAGCTAGAACCYGTCACAGAAGATTAGAAGCCAGTTTCTATCACGACACAAGTATAAGCCAGGAGCAGTTCTTATTATTATGATATAACAGTAAGATGTAAACTGCACATGGGTGCTACTGTACCACAGGTTTSAAGGAGCTGTGATTCAGGCTGACCCATACCCCAACATTGTTCACAGTGTTTCAGCTCTGAAGTCATTCTCTCAAAACCGTTTGAGATCTTGAAACTGGAAGCATTTTTCRTTCTTGTTAGGTGAAAACTGTCATGGAAGTGAATGTGCTCACTGGCAAGGCAAGTTACATTCTCAGTGCTTTGAAAATGGTGAGATTTTGCTCGTCATTTGTTGTTGAAGCAATCTGATAATTTTTCATTTTGCTCATGTTATGTAGTTTTGAAGTAATAGCTTTGATTATTAAATTCTCCCTTACAAAGATTTAATTGGCAGTGTGTGATTTKGGATGAAATTGCAAACCTCTTGTCATGATTGTTGATTCAAACACAGTACAGGAAGTGTTGGAAGTCTAAAGGCAATTGAGTTCCTGCAATGGATTAGTGATTCAGTTCTAAGCAAAGGAGTGGCCATCCTACCATTAACTCCTGCCACTTCATTGCCTAAGCAGAGATGTTCTTAGCATCCACAGGCTTTGGCTAGAGCTTTCCATTTAGAATTCGCCTCTGAAGGATCCAAATGTAAAATGTCTGTGTTTAATCTCTACTGAAAATAAGGTGAGCCTRTTCCTTTGTTTCCTGTAAGTAATAGAAAAGCTTTATTCCAAGGAAGTAATGGTCATATTGTTTGTAAATGTTCAGAAAAGCCTAAATTCTCATTTATTTGTTGATTTATATTAGCTTTTGAGTAAAGACAATGGTTAATTTGATAGCAAATACCATCAGGATGCAAAAAAAAATGTATTTCATGGGGTTGATTCACTGCAGTATTCTTGTGAAGTTTGGGTCTTTACACGTTTCTGTTTTGCATTCTTGCATGTGAAAATGCATGAGAAAGCAAGTCTGTTGGCATTGCACAGCCTTGAGTAACATTTTCAGACAGAGAAAGAGGAAAAAAAATAARCTCTTAGGAGAGCTTTATTTCTTAAGGGAAGTTAAGCAGTGAGATCTGCTTTGAGAGAGSCAGCTTTGCATTTTTGTATTATGTAAAGTTACAAAAAGGTGAAAGAGGAAGACCCTTAACTTTTATTGCAAGATATCGAACAGAAGATTTTCCAGACAGGAAATTCTTGTTTGTTCTGATTCTGCTTTAGTGAGTTAAAGAGCAGATTCATCTGTCTCCAAAGTAATCTTTTGGATGAGGTTTTGAGGTGAATTTGACCAGCATGTGTGTGTGCTTCCACAGACACCTTCCACATCATCATAAGACTTGAGATAATGAGTTGTTTGCTGAATATTTTGGTTGAATTTTCTCTGCCTTAATTGATTTTATACAGACTTCCTGAATGTGYGGAGAGGAGTGGGAAACAGAATTTAATATGATTAGTTACGTTTACGTATTTGGTAGAAAGTTGCTTATAAAAATACAGTGTGTTCTGTTTTTCTTGAAGAAGGCTTAATTGCAGTGAGTACTGTGCTTCAGAATGTCTCATTTGAAGATGAGTTTTGTTTGGTGCTCAGTTTGTTGTTTTAAATAAACTCAGTAYATGTTTGCAGGTGATGGGAAAGGCAAGGGAGTCAGTGACCACATAAGAGCACCAGGTCTGTTACAGTRGGGAAAAAAGTAGGTAGCAGGGCTGTAAAATTCTGGAGTTAACCTGCCTATTAGTGCAAACTGGGACATTGGCTCCATGCCATATCCAAGTGTGTCAGTCACAGGCTCAGTCTATGCAGCAGTGCTCACCTATATTTTGAAAGGCTTTTGAATAAACAGCCAGCTGTCACAGAGTATTTGAGAGATGGAGGTTGTGGGTCTTAGTAAAAAACAACAAACTGAAGTACAAAGCTGACTCTTTATATGTACCTTCATTTCCTGCCAATGACACTTAACTGTTCCAAGGCTRCTTTTGTTAAAGTCTTCTTTCTCTGACCTTTGTCAGGTTTCAGAATCTCTGGGTTGGAATACTCATTTGAATCTTACTTAAGGAACATGTCAGATGTGGCAATAATCTCTGTAGAGTTCATTCCCARACTTCTCAGATTTTGCACATACAGAATGACTGTTTATAAGGTTGTGATTGGACTATCCCTCCATCATGCCACTAGGAAAAGTTACAACAAGCACTTATCTGTTGATTCCGTGTAATTGCTGCTTGCCAGCAAATTAGCTTGCATGCTAATGTTTCACATATTTGGGAGAGGATTTTTTATGGCACTTACATTCTATTGTGTGGACACAGGGGCTTGCGCACCAGATTTATCTTTGCTGAGGTAGGTATTGTTTTTGTGTGGTTATTAAACCTTTTTTTTTCTTACTTTTTGCCCCTTAGTAAAGCCTCGGGCAACTGTCTTCAGATGTATTTCATGCTAGGCCCATACCGACTTGTAAAATTTTCACAGACATGATTTCTCTTAAGGGAAACAATGGAACATAGATAATCATGTAAAAATTGGCCATTGATTGGGGAGRATTTTTGTAATGCTGTGCAAGTTTTACACATATTGTGTTATTTAATTTAAATATTGCACAGAAGGAAATTTTTATTCTCCATATTAATAATATCTTCAGTACTAAAGCAAAAATCTAATTGAAACAGCACCTATCTCTCCTATTACTCTTAATTACCTGATGATATACTCTTTTCTTGGATATATATACAAGAACAAGGAAAGCTGTAATGCCRTAATTTATTTGTTCAGTCAGGCTTGCTGTTAAAACCATTCCATTGCTAGAGTGGATGAGATGGAACAACACAAAATCTATGTTCTTTCCTTTGTAAGAACAGTGCAAAGTATTCTCCTGTAAAGAAGATAAATTGACCTATAAAAACATGGCAGCTTCACAATTGTTTTCTAATATTCGTACAGAATCCAATAGAAAACTAAGCCCACTACTGAATTTCTGAAATGGGGTCAATAAAAGTAACTATCTCCATACAGTGCTTTGGAAAACATGAATTATTTCTGTTCAATAGTGTAGTTATCCCTCTAACTAGTTCCATGATGTTTGCAAAAGTAAACACCTCAATAATTTGAAACAGAGAACGGATATGAATAAGTTTTGCTTGCTGATTTCTTTTTCCCACAGAGAGGAACACTGAAGCTATGGCAAGTGCTTAGAGGCTGCATTGGTAGCTCTAGGTGCAGTTAGATAAAGTTTCTTAATTGTCACATAGTATTTTTTCTACTAAACTTATATGCACATTTTGTATGTTACACAGTGACTGTAAAAATGCAGCAAAGTGAAACGGTTGGTTTTAATATTTGAAGATTATACAAGATTTATTGAATTCCCATTTTTGTAACTTAAGAACCTCTATTTGGGTAGATATTTAAAAAAAACAGAGAAGTTAATTCTTTAATACTTCTAAAAACTAGGCACTTCTAAAAAAATTTTAAATCTTTATCAAGTTAAAGTTGGCTAGTTTTTAAGATTGTTAGATACTATTTTTCATCTGATGAAACCGTAACAAACTGACAGGACCAGACTTGAATTTGCTGCTGATGTATTTTGTTTCTGTATCCTTAGGGATACAAGGCTTTCAGGGAGGCTTTCAAGAGGAAGAGCTAATAAATTACTCTGAAGTTGATACAAGCTTCTCTGGGAAAAAGARCAGGGCCTGGAGAGCCTGTGATAGAGAGCAACTGTTTTCAGATACCTGCATTAAACCTCAGACGTGCTTTCCTGCCAGCTGCTGCAGCACAGAAGATTAGCAGACATGTCCATAGCACTCAAGCAAGTCTTTAATAAAGATAAGACTTTCCGCCCAAAACGCAAGTTTGAGCCTGGAACCCAGAGGTTTGAACTTCACAAACGAGCGCAGGCATCTCTCAACTCAGGTGTGGACTTGAAAGCAGCTGTGCAGTTGCCCAGTGGAGAAGACCAAAATGACTGGGTAGCTGTTCATGTTGTTGACTTCTTCAACAGGATCAATCTCATTTATGGAACTATCTGTGAGTTCTGCACAGAGAGGACCTGCCCAGTGATGTCTGGAGGCCCTAAGTACGAGTACCGGTGGCAGGATGACTTGAAATACAAGAAGCCCACAGCACTGCCAGCACCCCAATATATGAATCTTCTCATGGACTGGATCGAGGTGCAAATCAACAATGAGAATATATTTCCTACAAGTGTAGGTAAGTTCAAGTAAGAAGTTCTAAAGCATAAATTGCCTTTCCTTCTTGTACTAAGCATCTTCTCTTCCCACCTTCATTTTTAGGGACTTTCAAGCTGTTAAACAGCAGGTGGGGAGGAGGAAGGATCAGAAATAGTGTGCAGTGTATGAAATGTTGATTGTGCCTGCTAGGTGTGGTGGTATTTGTTAGCCTTAAATATTTGTCCCTGTTGCACCTCTCGGGTTAATCACTGAGAGTGATCAGCATTGCATTAATGCTTTCTTGAAAACTCATCAAATTTATATGGCTTTGTACTCTGCCTGGCTACTTGGACAGATCAGAATGGATGGAAAGCAGAACTAGTAAGAGTGCTCTGCTAGTGTGTACATCTGTGTACAAGACACTGAAGAGTCAGGAGTGCAGTAAACTTTGCCCTCCCACCCTCTCATGATTTCTCACCCAAARTTTACAAGTTGAGGAATGAATTATTCTTCAAAGTATTGTCTCCAGTACTTTATATAACTAATAAGTGTTGCTATTATTTACGCAGACAGCCTAGATGAGAGAGCTGTTAAGAGATTTACAAACTCCCTTTTATAATATTCTCTCTGAAAAGTAGAATAAGTAGGTGGAAGTATCCTTGCTAAAACAGTTCCCTCTGGATAAGGACAACTTAGCAGAAGAGTTCATTKTGTAGTTTAGACAGTATAAATCTTCAGCTGTGTCTGCATGCAACAATAAAAAAAAGTTGTAGCTTAGAAATGTCAATGTATTTGCATGATTTTAGCAGTTGTAGTTATTCATAAATAATGACTTATTTCTTTCAAATGGAAAAACTGGGAACTTGATGTAAGAAATGTGAATTGTTGTATATTAGTTGGCCCAGATGAGCAACAAACAAGAAGAATGCCATATGGTCAGATTAGTGCAGCCCCATATTTTGGATTTTATATGCAGCTAGGACCTGCAGCTAATTGGTAGATGATGCATCAAGAGGCTGTGTCTATCAGTGTTTCCAGACCTTTRAAATTCCTTACTCTTGGCCTTGATGGCTAGATGGACAACCTGTGGTTTGTTTCTCAGTTGCTGTCACTTTTCTGTTCTTTCTACTCTGACAGGTAGAAAGGATGCATTAACTATCTTTTTTAATCTGGTTTTTGACAGCAGAGCAAGAAGAAAGAGGATTTCAGAGGAAATAGTATCATATATTTTACATAGTGAAAAATGGGTTTGATTTCTCTACCATTTATTGATTTATGTTTCTTCAGGAAAAAGAAGAAGGGGTTGAAGATTTTTGGGCTTGAAGGTGGAKAAAGGTGCAGAGAAATAGGTCATTTTACTTCCACCAGTATTTATGCAGGCTTTTATTTCTGCCTCRGATTATTCCAATATTGTTCTGTTTTCCTGTGGTTTGCATATGTAGGAAGTGCTGTCTGTSAGTAAATATGGGGAGCAGGTAGCACACTGGTGTGCTGATAGGTTTTACTGAACCAATTAATAATTTCTAACACACAAACCTTCAGCCTAGATGCTCCCCTGTTACGTTTGTGTTAAGATAGCTCTGAAGGAACTTTTATCCTATTGTAAGCTAAGAATGAAATCAGTAAACACTCTTAATCTACAGGTTTTCTCCTCCCAGCAGCTTCTGCTTTTACTGATTAAATCAGACATCAAGAAGCTGAAGGAGGGAAATGGGGCTCTGATAAAATTCAAAAGAGGAAATCTCAATATTCCTGAAAATCTTTGTCTCACCCTGAATTGACCCAAAAAAAGGGAAAAGTCTGCTTGTATTATTAATAGCACTTATATTATTAATACAATTAACACAATAGCACTTGTATTATTAATACAAGCATTAATAAGAACTGTCTTATTAATATTACAGACTGAGATGACTGGAGARTTCCATAAAGATATTTTATAGATACCTGTGGAGCATTATTCCATTGAGCAGCACTTGTACCCCTATTCTTCTCTCCTCTTCAGCCTTTGTTGCAGATACTGTACTGGCCCCCTGCATGCTTCTCATTATCTTTTTGATTTACCACTTTTTGTATGAAACTGTTGATAAAATTGTTTGGGAGGCCTTAAATCTTTCAATTCAGAAACAGATATATGTGGTGTTGAATTCAGAGTTCTGGGTATCTCTTAYGTGAGCAAGTCCCTACTTAGGCACTCAAAACTGTCAGAGTAAAGTTTGGATCTGTTCCTGGGATAAGTTTCCTTTTAAAAAAATCRTTTTGATTGATTTGCACATCACTCCCATATTTGGGTATGATGCTGCTTGCCAGCCTATCTGGGTACTGCTTATAAAGCTGTTGAATGAAATAGTCACTGACCATGTATATTATTACCTGTTCTGCATTTCCCAAGTGAGCAGAGAGGGAACCTTTGTTGCTGTGTTGGATACTGTTTGTTCCTGTTCTGCAGCAGCSTTTGGTTAGATACACCATAGGCATAGTACTAATTAAAATCTATATTTTCATTCATATAAATTAATGGTGATGAATATGACAATTGCTTATTCCTCAAAGCAGTTGAAATACATCTTGAAGGATGATATACTCAGAAAACAAAACAGGCTTGTATATGCCCTTTCTAATAAGACAACAGTTTAAAAGTGTTGAGTGGCTGCAACTTTGAGGTAATTTTATTGCTTTGAATCTTTTTATTCCACAGATAATTGTTCTGAAAAATAAAATGTCCAGTAGATAATATTTGGGCTGACTTTTCCATTAGCAAATGTTTGATGAAGAGATCAAGAATGGAATTTATATGCGCTGTGCACAGAAACCCTGAATTCACTTTTCTCAGCTTAAACCTATGAAACTTTCCTTCTTTCATTTCACATGTCTTATGCCAACTATCTAAAAAGGGATTTCAAGTACAGTGATTAAGTGCAGCTTTCACTGAGGAGCTAGTTTCAAGTAAAATAATTTCAGAGTATGGATAGCCAGTTTTTGTGGGATCTTTCATTTTGTGGTGGTGGTGTTCCTCTGTGGTTTAAAAAGAAAAAAAAAAGACCACGAATGCAGCTGAGTTATAAATGGTTGTAAATGTTATATTTAACCTTCTCAGTGCTTATACTGGCACAATGGCCTCTGGCCTCTTACCAGGTAACCTGTGGTCTRGTATTTCCTCTCTGCTTTTTCCAGTCCTTCTGGTTTATTCATTTTCTGGTAGAGAGTGTCTTCCCTTAACCACTCTCCCACTAATACTGAGTTGGTTGTAAAGAAATGGAAGAGCTATCAAGAATTGTGCAGGTGATAAAAGCAGGTGCTGAATATCAACCACTTCTTTGTACAGCAAAACTTCAAGGACTCTGTTTATAAAATGGCCTCACAATCTGTAGAGGATTGCAGACTTGATTATGTTCTTGTTATTATTCCCATTATCCATTGGATAACAATTTCTTTATCCATTTAAGTGGATTTAGGGTATGAGGCTAACAGCTCTGGAAACAAGTTCTGTAGGTAAAACATACAGACTTGTGTCAGTCCTCAGTGAGTGAGAATGTAATAGTAGAACAAAGAAGAATCTGTATGCCTGCTCAGGCACTCCGGTGAAGCTGCCCATCCGCAACATGAATTTTTGTAATGTGCTTGATCTTTATTTGGCTTTAGGGTAAATTCTTTTTCTTTGGTAAATACTAGTTGCTCTTTACGGCACCTAGTAGTCTCACTATTTAACACTTTTCAATGAATATATTTCTCAGCTTTTGGTAAACAGTCTGAAGAAATAACTTGGAATGGAAAGCAGTAGATCCTTGGAACAGATGCAGTTTTTGTTGAATTGTAGTTGTCAGCTTTCACCGTATGAGTTTTGGCAGTGTCAGAAAAGGAGCTAAGAAAGATAGCTGCTCTATTCTTCTGTGCTCCCTTTAAATCTGGATTCCCAAACAAGAAAAATTCAGTTGCTTTAGGTTCTTTCCCCTACTCATTTCAACCTTAAATTGGGAGTCTTCCTTGTAATGCTGTGTTCTTTCTGCTGTACGAGTCAGTGGGTAAGATATATAGAAATTTAAGGCCACAGGGGATTATGTCACTTATTCTAATCTGACCTCCTGCATAAGGCAGGCCAAAGAACCACATGATTTCTTCAGGTCCACAGACTGAAATGAAAATATGGTAACAAGCCAGAAAATTTTGCGGAAATTAACAGAAGATTAACTTCTTTCCTGGCTTGACATAATGAAAATTTTTCCCAGTGAAGAAAATGAAGCAGTTGAGAGAGAACCCAGAGAGTCTAAACCATCTCCACCCCTCAAGGTTTTCAAGACCAGGCAGAATAAAGCCCTGAGCAATCTGATCTGATTGGATGCAGACTTCCCAAAATCAGTGCTAGCCTTAATTATCCTGTGTTTCTTAATTCTAATTTCAGCACTGCCAGGCTGCCTAAGGAACTAAAAGAGCTAAATTGATTAATAATTGATTAAGCAGTTTAAGACAAACCACAGTTGGACTCTTAGAGGAAGTACAAAATCACTTTTAAGATATGCAAGATTTTGTATAGGAGGATTTAAAAAGTTATTAAGTCAATGTGATTGAACAGCCTAGTTATGGCTGATCAAAATGAAAAAAAATACTTTTGAAGTATTTAAAGCCTATGACTTCAGGTGAAAAATTAATGTACCTTTATAAATGTATTGGCCRTTCCATGATTGACTAGTAAATTTTGGTAGCTAATAGCTTCAGAGTTTTTGCACAGAACAAGCGTATGATGATGCTTCCAAAAGAGGAGGCCACTATGTCTCCACAATGCACCTAGAAAAGCAGACCAAGACTCTGAAGGRCCCTTGTGGATACAATTCAAATTTGTGTCCTACTAATATTTTGGTAGAATTTTTCTGGATCTCTCTCCAGTAATAATGGTTACTGCTTGGAGCACTTTTCTGCAGCAGCAGGAGAACAGATGGCTGGTGATGCTCAACTACCTTTACTGAGCAAAGACCTCTTCACAATATAGCCTGTATAAATGTGGGGAGAGTGTTTGACATCACTGACTTTTTCTTACCATTATCT